AAGACCGAGAACTCTGGATTTATGTGGATTTTTATTAATAAAAAATCGCGGGATTTATCGCGGGATTTATCGCGATAAATTGCGGTTTTTGAGGATCTCGGGATTTTCAGAATTTTCGCATTTTTCACTCAGAGAATTAGAAAATACTTTGGATTTTTTGTGGGGATTTTTTGAACTGAAAAATCGAACGGTTTTCTTGAATTTTTAATTAAGGATCAACTTTCTGGTATGAATGGTGAAAAATCAATTTTTTTAATGGAAATTTCAAGATTTTCTGTCGTTTTTTGGTTCACAAGAAATTATTTCCAATTTTTTTAGAACAACAGACAATTTTCAACAGTTCTAAATTTATATTTATATTTATATTTCAAGAGGAATGATTCTGGATTTATATAGATTTTTTATTTAAAAAATCAAGTGATTTCCTCGAATTATTTAATTAAATTGGAAAAAATTCGGTTTGAAATTCAAATTATTTTCCCAACATCAATAATTCCCAATCAATAAAAATGATGATTTAATTAAATTAAATTAAATGGGTCCGATTAAATTCACCGCGAGAAAATTTCCAATTCATTAGCAATTGTTGCTAAATCTTGAAATTTTTCCGTGCAGTGAAAACGCATTGAACAGTAATTGACATCCGAGAAAGAAATTTCATCATTGAGGAAACCGGGATTACAATAATTGCGTAATTTTACGAGCTAGCAGCTGAAGTACTCATAGACAGACATTTACTTCATTCATGAGAATGACAATTACTCGGAGAGTTGTAGATAATGAATCCGTCACTTAACCGTCAAGAGAAAATTTTAATATTCCTTATTAATTTAATTAATTCTATATCAAATTAATTTTCCAGGAGTAATTAATCTCTGGGGATTAAGATTTGTAATGACAAATAAATTGAAACAATTAATGAATCATTAAAAATTTATTTGTCAGTCAGAAAAAATTTTTCCGATTTTTCCGGTAATTTTGGAAAATTCGGGATTTTTTGTGGAAATTAATTTTATTTTAAATTAATTTTCCGGGAGTAATTAATCTTTGTGGATTAAAATTTGTAATAACAAATGAATTTAAACAATTAATGAATCATTAAGAATTTATTCGTCAGTCAGAAAAAATTTTTTCGATTTTTCCGGTAATTTTGGAAAATTCGGGATTTTTTGTGGAAATTAATTTTATTTTAAATTAATTTCCCCAAGCATAATTAATCTTCGGGAATTAAGAATTGTAATAACAAATAAATTTAAACAATTAATGAACCATTAAAAATTTATTAGAGAATATTTCCAAGAAAAAGAGAAATCTTTCCTATTCCTCCGGTTATTTCTGAAAGTCTCGGGATTTTCGTTGGAATAGAATTATTTCCCTGCGCGTAATTAATTTCCGAGGCTCATAATTTGCAATAACAAATAAATTTGATTTTAGGGATAAATGGACGGAGTAGGTCGCTGACCTCTCAGAGCTCAAGAGGATCTTCCGAGAAGCGAAAAGTTCTCTTCACACACTGACCTCCATTTGCTCCAGCACTCAGATGGAGAAAACACCCGAAGATTAAAATTGTTTAAAATCCTCAAACTCACCATTTTTTAAATAAAATTCCCAGTGAAAATTCCAATAGTCGTCCCTTGCGCTCTTCAAATTAATGACTTCACCCTATCACTGTACACCACCCACGCATGTCCAAAAATCACAGAGTAAACGTTCAATAAAAAATAAATCAGACACTTTTATACACTTTTTAAATAATTAACGTATCGATTTTGTTAGCGCACGGTGTTAAAGTCTTGGACAGTTTGAAGGGACAGTGAGCAAGCTAAAGGCCTATATAGATATCCCCACCAGGAGTTTAGAGTGTCTACCCGGACTGGGAGTTCCTTTACAGATGCTGACATGGGTCTATCCTTCCAGGAGAAAGCATACGGTTACACTGGATCTTTCAACAAATTTGTAAGTGTTAATCAACAAATTCAAGCCATTGAAATAATTCGCTATCCAACAGATAAATTTCATTCATTCGATTTTTATTTTTAGTTATAACAGGAATTATTATAACATTTATAATGAATTATAATATTTATTTTATTTAAACATCAGTTTTCATTCAATTAATAATGAGCATAATAACAAATATTAATAAATAATAATAATATAATAACAAAAATGAACTACACTCAATTTTTAATTAATTTGACAGTTCGTCAAACTCCAGTAAAAAATATTGTTAATTAATTTTTTATTAAACAGTAAAAATTATAATAATTTCAATTTCACTTCAGGAAAAAAATCCCAGATTTCGACTTCAATTCCGGGAAAAAAACTCTCATGTCTGTTCACGTTGAAAAAATAGTTGGAAAATAATAACAACAATTTGCACGGAATAAAAAATAAATAAATAACTGAGGAATGCAATTCTACAGTGTGAGATTGAAACAGTTTGACTGCGAATCTCGGAAACAATTGGAGCAAAGTAGATTGTGCAAACTGCAATTTAAAAACAACTCTCCCGAGCTTTCTGAATATAAATTTTGACTGCAATCAATCTCAATCCTCTGATCTACTTACAAAAATCCAATTGTAATAAATTTGTCCGAATTCAGATCACTTTCGACAATGCGACAGACTTTCATCTCCAGAATTTCATCTCCTAAAACCAGAGATCATAAAAATAAAAAAAAAATAAACGACGAGAATTACAAGTGGCCGATCATATTCGCAATTGTTGGAGCATTAAACCCCAGGAGTTGCTTCAGATGAAATTGAAGGGAATAGGATCAGCAAATTGTTCTCATCCCACGGAATTCCATCAAGCAGTTGAGAAAGTCGATGCAGGTGCCAACCAGTAAAAACTAAAGATAGGAAAATCATCGAAAAATAGTGAGTGCAAATAAAGATCATCGAAAAGATCAGGAGAATAACTAGGTCTCGAGTGTTCATGACTTGGAAGGCGTTGGTTTTAAGTTTTAAGCCTGTATTTATTCCTTTCACTGCACCAGGACCCATTAGTCCGTAACGTGCCCTAATACTTGTTCACGCAAGTATGTGTCTTTTATGTACAGTTAACCATGTACTGTTCTATGTAGTTCAACATTCGATACCTCGACTAATGCAGATTTCATACCGGTATCCGTCCAGAATATTTAATAATGATAGGAATTATATATTTCATGCGGCTTACGTAAGATGAGAATAAGTATCTATATACTACCTCTATATAAATATATATATACTCAGAAATATATATGTCAATTACATCCAGATGTGTTGCATACATTTCAACAAAAATTCATTGACGTATATTTTGGATATATCTGTGGAGATATATTCCACTTTAAATTTTTAAACATTTTATTTATTTATTTTTTTAATTGTATATATATATTTGACGGGTATATTTGTCTTTGGGACTTTGTAATCTCGCGCCAGTTTAGGTGGACCAATAATTTGATTTGATGAATTTTGGTTCGAGTTGACCAATGAGAAATTAGTCCTAAGCGTTTCGAGATATCTCGACTCGGGCGAACTTCATTTTTGTGTTTCTACATTCATGATAAGGATTCATGATAAGGATATCCCTAAGTGAAGTCGATTGTCGTGATTTTTTGACTCGTATCGTTTTGATAGGTGACCAGAATATTTTACCGAAAGCGGAAGCTTTTTTCTTTGAAAAAAATCGATGTGAGAGGGAAATGGCAGACGATAGAACGATAAAAATTGCGGGATGATAAACATGAAGAAGGCCGAGGCGATATCCTGAGAAGGAGGACACAGCGATCGTCAGGGCGCCGTATATCCGGTCATTGAATTCCCCAGATGTTCCACCTCTTCTTGAAAAACGTATACCTTTTAATTTCTCATTGTTTTCAATTTTACAACGTAATCACACATCCATGAATAAAAAAGGGGGAAGTAAAAAATAATGGGGTGTACAGATGGAGATGTGTCCAGGGTGGTATTTAAAACGTGATAAATATCACCGGACACTTCCTCTTTGTTTCTTCCGCACTGCAATTTTCCATTCATCGTCGATTTTTTTCTTTCTCAATTCTGAGTCATAGGTCGAGTGAGAAGTTGTGACTACGTGATCAGTAGCGAAATCACGATCATACCTTCACTTTTAACCGGTATTATTCAATTCTATTGAGTACAACTCGATGAGAATGCCAATTTCGTTGTAAAGCTGTAACCTAGGAGAATTGTTTTTTTTTTCCATACCGATTTTTCGCCGATATCTCGGAATTAAATCCACATAGCGATTTTTTTGCCTGAACATTATTTGTAGTAAATAATGAGAGGCACAAAAAAGGTATGAATAAAAATCTCGTTATCTCCATTCGATTCTGAGATATTCGGTAAAAACTGGACTCGAATAAAAATTCAGTTAGTCTGGTTCACTTCGGTATTGAATGTTTCTGGAAATATTTGTTATATAAATTATTATAAATTACTTTGTCTTCTGGCCTATGATGTATAATTATTCGAAAACAATTACATATTCCGTACGTAATGAGGATAATTAGTCTATTAAGTGACATTTATTTTCTGTCTGTTGCAACCGATACTTTCTTCCTTTCTTGCATAACAATGAAATTTCTTTGTTTAATACTTTTTCTTTTTCAATAAATTCTTGTTATCCACCCCGCGATACAATTATTAAACAATTAAATATCGCATTAATGATAAAGAATAATAATTAATTGGACGATCTTTATCATTTATATTTTTATAATAATCCTTTATCAAAATGACATTTATTATCGAACGCGATTTTTAAATTTTCCGTCTCGAAGATATAATTCTAAAAATGGCAACTCCCAATTGAAATTTATCGGGTAATTAACTTATCGTAATGGCTCATTTAATTCTCTATTCCCAAGAGAGAAATTGGGCTAGGGCTTATTTTATGACCCTTCAACTCAGAAACTCCATTTACATTCTGAATTAATTAAGCCTCAATGCACACCTCGAAAAACTTTTTACAATCTAAATCAGAATTAACTCTTGACAACTGCAATCGTCTAGTCGTTGAGGAAAAGTTGGAAAATCGTTTCACGATTTCTTAACGTCTTGTCTCCACCAACGGTTACAAAGTCACCACTTAAAAATCAATAGAACCCCTCAAACTTCATCTATTTAATTAAACAATTAACAATAACGATCTCATTCCTTTCAATTCGAATTATTTTTCATATAGTTGAAATAACGAACGATCTCCTAAATTATTCCTTTATAATTACTCATTATTCATGGTAAAATCAATTATGACTTGCATACTTGATCCTCCAGTGGTGAGTTGCGGTCTTTTTACTGCATATTTACAGTAATTTCGACAATTACTTCCTCTCGGTACGGTAAATGAACTTTGCTGCTGGTTTTTTCCGTTACCGGACGCTATTCGGTTTTATGACTCCATTTTTTCCAATTTTACTTTCTAGATTTATTGACAATCCACTTTTCTCCCCATTTTTTCATAATTAATGATTAATTTATAATCATTAATTAATAATCATTACTTAGAAGATCTGCACATATACTGTAAATTTGTAAACTTCAATTACCAGAAATGAAGAGAAACCGCGAGTAATTGAAAATGAATTACTATATTTTATTTAATTAATTAACTATTGCTACTATCAGAGTGTTAATTATTAAATTAATGGTAATTTATGACATCTTTAGTGGAAATTTAAACGGAAATTTAAACAAAAATCGGAGAGTTCATTCACACCTGTCAGTTGTCATCTGATCAATCTCCGCTGAAAAAAAAAATAGAGAATTCAATCAGAAAAAGAGAAAAAAGGGAAAAAGAAAAGTCATTTAGTGGTGGCAGGTGAAAGCGACCCGCCCATAAAGTAAAATACATTTCTCATCATCTCTATCATCAGTCGCAGTAATCAAGCGCCTGTCAATAAAACGAAAAAAAAATCTTGATAAAAATCTATATTCTATTATTTTATTCACTCATTATATTTATTATTTATCTATATATTTTCTAAATCTATCTCTAAATCGATTGGATAAAATAAATAATGAAAATGGGTGAAATAATGATTCATTAAAAATTCTGTTGAGTCATTGAAAAAATAGAGACGATGAAAGAGTCAATAAAACCGTGGAAAATTCGCAAAAAAGAAAATTAGATTACCTCTTCAAGCGTAAACAATAATTCTGGTTTTTTTTGTTATTAAAAACCGAAATTAGGGGGATTAAATTAAACAGAGTGAATAATCAATGGTAAAATAATGAAAATATTCTGTTGAGTGAATTTGAAAAAAATATAGAAAAGATGGAAAAGATAAATTGGAAAAATCGGAAATTCCATTTTTCAGAGAACAGAAATAATTTTACACGACCGATAATAAATAATTTAATAAAAATATCGGATTCACTGAAAAAAAAGGGAGTAATAAAAACGAAGAGAAATAAAAAATTAGAATTTCCCCAGAATTCAATTTCCAATCATAATCTGTAATTACAAATCCCAATTAACATAAATAAATTAACCGGAATGAATAATAATGAATAGCAATAAATAATTGAAACGAAGAAAATGGGAATTATAAAAAGGAGTAAAAAAATTCAAAAAAAATTCTGGAAAGAAAAAAATAGAGAGAAGCATGTGAGAGAATTCCATCGGTCGTTGAATTCCAAAAAATTTCTTTCTTCTCGTGATTGCACATGAGTGTAGTGAACTCCAAACGCCAGTGGCATGTAACAATCTCTTGAAACCTCAACTCAGCCTCAACTTAAACCCCAAAGAGATGGGAAAAAATGGGATAATAATGTAACGCCTACAAATGGCATTCTCGGGTGCTCGTAGCTTCTCATTTTCCATGCTGGTAATTACTTAGAGTAAATTACTGAAATAACCGCACGTGACTGAGTCACGAAGACGAGTATTGATGTGCAATGAACTTGACCGGAAGTGGGTCATGGCAATCTGTGACGAATATTTACAGATTTTTTAATAATAATAAATAATAATAACTGAGATATAATTTTTTACAGAAAATTCTAGATTCTTCAAATTATTAAATAAAATAGAAAATATATTATCATTATATTTATCATTTTATATATATATATGTGTTACATATTTTTTTATATATATCTTCAATGTGACGGCGTATATCTGCAAATATATCCGAAATATATCTCGCATGAGTGATCCTTCGAGACCAGTTTTTAGCCGATATCTCGGAATTGAAAGCCGATACCGGTATTTTCATATAGACCTTTTTTATAGATCTCATTTTTTTTAATAAATAATGTTTATATAAAAAAATCGGTATCTGCCTTCGATTTCGAGATATCGGCGGGAAACTAGCCTGGATGAAACTTGCACAGATTATACCAGTTTGATATATTGATATATCCAGATATCACTGACATATATTTTTGGATATACGTTCCATGAACTCTTTCAATTACTCCAGCCAATTTTAATGAAGAATCGATGAATCGGGTAATTTATTTACAATTAGTTAATGGGAGCTGAACGATTCGATCAGATATATTTCTTCTAGTTTATTTTTTGTCTTCTATTTTTGCACTGGGATTCGAATCGGTTCACTCTATTAAAAGAGAGAGGATTCTGGCTGTGGAAAACTCGGAGTTTATCAATGTCGGTATGAAAACGTTTATGAAGATTGGAATTCTGGATTTTTTTTTTCGTAAAAAAGAGAAAACGGTGGAGCGACGTTAAAAGCATGAACTTTTAATGAGAAATAAATTTCAATGGCTTACCATTTTTTTTTTCACCGCAATTTGTCGTTTTTTTAGTGGTTTGAAAGTGAAAGATGGAGATGTTTATATATTTGATTGCGGTATGTACGAGTCCATTGGACCTGCGGATGTTTCAGAGTCTAGGAATTTTCTAAAGTTTAACATGAGTTTGAATGATTGTTCAACAAATTTTCAGTAATTGGATTTGTTAATGAGGGAAAGGTGAGACTCCTACTGGTGATTCCATCAGAAAATATTGAAACCGGATTTTCATGAACAATCGATAATAAAAATATACATCTCCCCAAATTTGATTAATAATCTTTATTCATTATCTAAGAATATTTAACAACAAAGATCCACCGAGAAATAATTATATTAATATACTTATGAACTTTATACTCAATTAAATATACAGGGTATGTACATTTACGTTATATATATATCGTATACATATCAAATATCAATATATTAATTAAATATAATAATAATTGCAATAATATAAATAAATAAATAATATATTATATTATATAAAGTACACTTTAAATAAATACATAGATATGATCATATGAAGTACTTCATAAATATTTGAATCAAGTATAACGTATACTTGATTAAAGTATACTTTTTTTTTCGTATCGCGCAATGATAAATATTAATTCCCGAAATGCAAAAGCTGGAAATTTTGAAATATCACAGTTGATGTTTGAATCTGGCATTAAAAAAAATGGCCAACCATCAGAGCGTGACATTGTTTCAACTACAGATCGTAATGAGCGCATAATTACGGACATTAGTCAGTAGCGAGTACGAAAAACAGTATTTTACATCACTAGTTTTTAATGTGTCTTTATTCCACGGAAATTTGAACAACTGCCCTCCGATTATGGACAACGCTTTTACTCTCGGAGTGAGGAATCGTTAATACTTCGCGAGTTACTTTGACAGTGCTACAGAGAATTGCAACGAGTTACTTTTTTTTTATTGCAAATGTTTATTGTCTTTTTATCGGCTCGGTGGAATTCGGAGTAATAAAGAAAATAGTGTTAATCGAATCACCTGCATACATCGAAATCGCAGTAAGATTCAATTTTTCTATCAGATTCGATTTATTGTTCGTTAATATTTAATAACAATTTTGGGAATTCAAGGAAAATTAAACTCGAACCGAATGAAGTAATTTAATTCTCTCAAGATCGAGGGGAACTGTTTTGCATATATTTTAATTTCCCTCTCATACATATATAAAAAAATGTTTTATTTATTAACTCTGCACTTTCCATAACTTAACAATAAAAATTGTCGAGTACCGCCGGGTGATTTAATAGTTATAATTTTCACTTTCAGTTTGTTTCCTCTTTATGAGCATCATCTTAAATGCCAATAAAAAAAAAATGAGTCTCGAGGCTTTTGCAATCGACATTATTATTAACAATTATAACTTCCGTATACATATCGCGTGTGTTAAATGTTTTTATTGCATAATTTTATATTTTATTCAAGTATACTTGTCATTAATTTACACTTGCATCAAGTCTACTTGTGATTTATTTATACTTTCACAAAGTATACTTGATATTCATTTATACTTGAATCAAGTAAACTTCCCCGTGAATTTACGTATGGCACACTGAATACAAGAAAATAAAAATTTCTCCTATTTTTCGCATGTCTATTTTTCATTGGCTATTCTTGACATTATTTTCCTGATATTATTCCACTCACCTCCAGAATCACGTCATGCAAGAATAATATTAATGATTTCAGGTTGTCATAGTGACTGGGGTCACAGCGGTGAGAGCAAACCGATCTTACTTTCACCCTTACCCACACTCGATGGACATTATTTTAAATCCAGGGCCCAGGAATCACCATCTCCCTCTCGCACAGAGCTCATCATCATGCTAATCGTCAGCCAGGGATTGAGACAGGAAGAAGACTGGTTTTTTTTTTTTACATTCGAGAACTTGACCCAGATATCGACACCCGGTGTGGCTGACCTACTGTTACACACCTCCACAAACATTCCAACTGCAAAGAGAAAATAGACGATACACGAAATACACTCTGAAAAATCATTAATTATTCATTTAATTTTGTAACAATACGACACTCACACATTTAGAACTTTTTTTATCTATTTATTTATTATTAATTATCGCCCAGTTATTATTTTTGCAGGTTGACGGTAATTAATGAATGAAATAGAAGAAGTGATTATTTTTATAAACGCATGACGCGTCAGTTAATGGAATTAATTGTTAATTATTCCTGTGAAGGTTTAAACAAATACGATTGTTTATATTTTATGAAGATTGAGGATTATTCGTCTCCGATCGTTCGGGAATTTGCAAAGCTCTCGTGGTTTGAACCCGAGAGGAAGTTTCTGTAATAGTTAATGTTTTTCATCCGTCAATTTAGTGTGGAATAATTTACGCAATACTTAAATGACTGCAGTGAGAATAAAATTCATTTTCTCAACGTAGAAATTCATAATTTCTAGATTTTTCCGTGATGAAGGATCCGAATAAAATACTGGCACCTGCGGACTAAAAAACCATTAAAAGACTAGAAGGACTAGACTATAAAAATTAAAGCTTTAAAAATTGTTAATGCCAAATAAACAATTTATCGTGGGATTGTAGAAAGTATTATAATTCGTAATTCACATGCGCATTTCATGGTGAATTCCTTAAAAATAATCAGAATAAAATAAAAATTGCACCAACCAGGAGTCACTCACCCCGAAGAAATAAAATAGAAAAAACCCACCTACCAGAGAAGAAAGTGAAACAGTAGTAAAAGTTGGATGCACTAATTTTCGCGTGTGAAACACCACAAAACGTCAACCCATTTAAAAAACTCGTATTAAAAATAAAAATCACACGAATTTAAAACTTTAAACAAATTCCAAAGAAAGAGAGTCATAAATCGTATTTCATCACCGAACTAAACCCCAAGATGACCTAATAAAAAAAAATTCTGAATAATTCATGAAAATTTAACCAACGAAAGTTCATCCACCTGAAAGGAACATTTCTCCAGCTAGTATTCTAATCCTGACATTTGTCGTTGAAAAAAATCACCAGAAGAATTTTGTTGGAAGACAAAAAAAAATCATAATGAAAACTGGATCAACCGGATCTTGAAGCAAGTGAAACTTTCGACTGACGAATATAACTATTTAATTCCTCAGGGAGTCTGTGCCTTTTCCACAGGCCGTCTCGATAATTCCGTCCGCTTATTAATTTTTCTTCTTCAATTTTCAGTGCATAAACATCTGGGGAAGAGAGAGATACTTGAGGACGATTGATATGGCCTTACTTTCACCCTCGAACAAGGTCTAGGACGATGGGCTACATTCGCTGTGACGCCTCTCGATTTTTATTTTTTCTTTCACTTCTTTTCCTCGAGAAAATTCGGTCAAGTCACGACATAAAATCTCCAAAAACCTAAAAACTCTCAAAAATACCAAAATCTGAAAACCAACATCTTAATAATTAACTCCAATTAATGTAATTAATCAATGAATTAATTAATTTATTTATCTATCATCATAATTATTAATCAGTGATATCTCGATTAATTCGATCATCTCAACTGGATTCTGTCATTTCAAAAATTCCCAGCTTTTTTTACTTAAACAATTTTATAAAATATTAAATAATTAATTAATTATGTTGTGATGTATTTAGTAATATTTTTCAATTATATAAAAACGTAATTCTAATGAAAAATTGACGGAATAATTTTGAGATTTGATATTTTTTTGTCAAAAAATAACAAATAATGAGAATTATTATATTTAATAACATAATTAATTAATTGATATTTAAACAAATGTGTTTTTGGCAAAACCGTGTGCATCGGATTGAAAAAAAATGTAAAAAAAGGGTAAAAAAATGATAAATTAATAAATTACAGTAGATTTATGCAAAAAACAACAATAAATAAAATGGCACTTGCCTATTTGTCAGTTTCACTCGTCCATTTGACTCTCATTGTTATTATTTATGCGGGATAAATACAACAATTAGATTTTCATTATTCCGAATGTCAATTTGATGGATAAACTTGAATTGTTATTCATACCGTGGGAAATAATGAGACGCCGGTATTTTGTTGCTATTTTCACAGGCTGTAAATGGAATAAGTATTACGGGGATTATTTGATACGGGGAAGTGTGTTGTTCGTTGTTATACGTGTACTGAAGAAATAATTATCTCACGCAGTGAGGAAGGACTTCTTCACTTTCACTCGGATTCTGATGATGTGGAATTTCAATTAGGCAGGAAGTCTTTATCCATTTTTTTTATACCCTGTAAAGAGATTACGCAGGAGTCTGTCTAAATTAGAGAACAATATCGGATACGAAAATTCTTTCTGTTTATTATTAACTATTATTATTTAATTCGAAGGAAAAATTACTTTTGGGAAAAAAACATATTTTAATGAACTGTTAATAAACAATAAGCGTTAAAAATGTAATCAGCAATTAAATTGATTGAATGAGAGCAAGTGATTGTGTTAGGATTAATTTAAAGAAAAGATCTGCATATTCTTTTTTTTTTTAATAATGAAAATGGAAAGTTTAGTGGAGTTTTTGAAGATAAATATTTTTTTGACAGGATCAGTCGCTTTGAAACAATTTATTGAAAGAAAGGAGTTGTTGGGGATAAAATGTAATTAATTTTACCGCATGTTCAGATTGGAACAGTTGTTTATAATTACAAACCCTCATTTATATTCCCACAGCCGTTTATTAATTAACATTCAGCAGTAATTAGGTTTCTGAAGAACAATTTAATTTGCCTGAAGGGGAGGAGAGGTTGTGCCGAAGAGGATTGACTGATGCAGAGGCTCAGTTCTGGGGGTTTGAGTGACCCCAAGTGCATCGTAGTACTGCACCCCAAGAGAGGGAGGGCGCCACGCAATGCTGGGGTGTTTTTTTTTAATTAACCAAGTTTTTATTGCAATGCTGCGGTGTTTATCAAGTCGACGGGGTGAATTTTATTTTCTGCGGTGTGAATGCTTTTTGTTTTTCATTTGTTTAATTGAAATTTAGCCGACTGTAGAACGTGCGGAAGGGGGAAACCACATCTTGTGGAATTTCAATGAAAAAAATTATTCAATATGTTG